GCCTGGTGAGTTCTGTCCCATGTTGCGTTACGCACTTGATGCTCTCCCTTGAAAGTGGATGCACAGCATAGTAACATAGTCGCCGGCAGGTCTCACATTGCGAAACACAACCAGGTCGTATTCAACCGCTAAAGGGAGGGGTGGCAATCTTGCCACAGAAGAAAATTTCCATGATAGGTGATTCTTCCGGTTTCATAGCTTCACGGCGCGGCTGCATACTTTGCGGTAGCGTCCACCAGCGATCAATAGCGTCCACCAGCGTCAGCGACTAGAAAAGTATAGATATCGACCTGGCGTCTGCCAGCGTCTGCCAGCATCCGCCAGCGACCAGCAGCGCCTCGAAGGCTAGGGAAATATAGGTATCAATCAAGCATCTGCCAGCGTCTATTAGCTTCCACAATAAGAGGGTACCAGTTGTCTGATTACCCTTCTCCACTCCAGAACTCTGGTAGATGCTGGCAGGTGCTTGATCGACATCTATACTTTTCTAATCGCTGACGCTGGTGGACGCTACGACAGAGTATTAGCGTAGCCTGAACCTACTCACTGGCGGCGCCGACGTTTTGGCAAGATCGCTCCTCTCAGAGGCCCGGAAACATATGATCACGTATTTTATGTGACCTATCCTGTGTATTCTGTTTACTCTACACTCAACATCCTTGAGGTGCAACAGGTGTTGCAGCGCACTTGAATTACGAGGCGGTGGCTAAGCTCTCCATGAGATATTTTGATTTTGGAGACAGTTGTAATCATGTCTTTGTCCAACACAGAACAAGATGACAGTTGTCTCAAACTGAAATATCCACGAGTAATCCAACCTATGCCATGTTCAAATGCCACGCCCACTCAGGGATGAGGAGTGTGCTTGCCAGGTACAACCTGCACTATACGCCCGCACTCCAAGCAGGAGCAGAGTACATTTGCTCCTATTGTTTATCCCATGTAAATTGAGAACTGTGACCATTGACGATGACCGGATTCGATGAACAGTTTCAGTAGTTCCACCACAGCAGCAGCTTTCTTCAGCTAGGCTTTTGCGAATTTATTCCATTGGTTCCTAGCGCGTCAGGTAGTGGAAGGTTACAACCTCTCCAGAACGGTTAGCAGTCAAACTGCACCTCTGAATTAAAGAAATGCGCAACTTACTGCGGATTTCGTCTGCTCAGCAGGAGGTATGGTTATGTATTCAATACTCTGAGGGCGGAAGGGCTTTCTGATGAGAGGAGAGGGCCCCACCATCTTTGTATGCAGAAGATAAGGGTCATCTGAAGTATCACCAAGATTGAACCAGTGAGAAACCATAAAGCAAAAAATGAATTTTATGACGTAGAAAATCACAAAATCGAACTAAATAAAGAGATTCATTGCCGTTGCAGTTAAATGGAGTGTCCGCGATCAGGTATAGAAGGCGAAAATATGGCGTCGGGAGGTATGCGGTCCGCTACGAACAACATGTAGGTTTCGCAGCAAAAACGAGTAAGGGGCGCCATGGCGCGCAACAGGTTCAGTGACGCCTCCTTAATTCCAGTGGCTCCACCTTCAGACTCGCCTCCAAGGCCCGCAATTCTGTGAAAAACAAAGCTGCAGGACAAAGAAGAATAAAAAATCGTCTTTTAAACGGTCGTAGAGTTCATAATGGGGAATCAGCTGTGCGGATGAGGGCGCAGTGTTGAAGATGGAGTTAATTGGGCACGTACAAACTGGGATCGAAATGGGGTTCTATCTAGGGCAGTTGGCATGTTTTTTTTCTGCTTTTTTCTTGTATCGAGTTACTCAGCACCTTGTCGCCTATATGTAAACCACTGATCCACTATTTATGATGGCGAATGATGGCGCGCTCTGCCTTTATTAGCGGTAGAATATTATAAATAGTTCCCACAGAGTGCTGAGTCATGGACAAAAGCCACACCACAGACGGGCTCAACCCCTCTCCCCCCCCCTCTCGCTTTCCGTGCGGTTGTGCTATCAATTACGCTTCAAGAGCCGCTCTAACCCTTTCAGCTCAATGACTATTTGTGCCATTGATTTGAAATGCTCACTCGTTCTACGTGGTTTATACCAGTTTCCAACCGAATTTCGTGAATAACCACTACCACTACGGAGGAAGAGAATTGCTCACTTTTTCGATTTGTGAACTCATCTACGAGTGTTTTCATATTCTTCCATGATTCATCGATCACGTCTTTATTAGTACGTCCATAAGAGATCGAAACACGAATGAGATCAGTATCATGCACCTGCAAACAAGGACTTTACACAGGTGCAGCACACCATTGTTGGGGACTCCCCAACAGGTGGGGCGTCGTCTGTCTGCGATTCAAAAAAAATCTGCGTCTCGCGATTGTGTTTTCGAAAAGTTCTCAACGAGAAAGTGTATTGAATAGTTACAAGAGCGAATTCAAGCCGATATAAATTTTGTGAGAGGAGATTATCATTGCCCTCAGAAAAAAACTTATTTTGATGGTTCATTCTTTCGTTTCACGTGCTCACATTGGCAGAATAGTACTGCGGGGGGTGGTATTTCGGTGGATCGGGTGGGGAGGAAGTCGTAAAAGTGTTCGGCACTACAGAAGCTTGCTGCATGTGAGATTTTTCCGACTCACACGTGCGCGTAGATTACATATCCACCTCCACACCAGTGGGCCGCAGTAAAACCTCTACAAAAAATACTATGTCTCATAATAGGTTGTGGCAGTTGCTTACAACGGAGGTAATTCAGGTCATGACGCGCTTTTTGGAAATGGTTTGCTTGTTGTAGGGGTCCATACAAGGGTCACAAAAATGGGTTTCATTTTTGCTATGCGTTTCTGGGTAGGTCAAAAATGAGTGAAAAGAATTTGACAAGAATGGGCGGTTTTAACAACCTTAATGGGCTCCGTTCTGCTTGTAACTTCGAGCATGCATAGTTTATGAGGTGGTCACTAATTAGGCCTCAAAATAGATTCGATTAAAGTCAAAATGTAAGTATCATGTGGTAACACACTTGGCATGCACCGACGCAAGAGTGATGTTTTTGTCAGCAAACCCTTCACCACCACTGCAAACGGATCGGATGGCGCAGTGGATAACACGACGGGTTCTGGATGGCACGGCAAGGGGGCACTTTGTGGATCGGATCCTTCTCGCGGAAAATGTTTTGCATTTTTCAGCTTTCCATTCATTCGCGTGCCTGTGTGTCTGGCAGTAGAAATAAGTCAAGTATATGCCATTTGAAGGCATATACTTGTGGCCACATTGTGGCCAGAAAGCGTGCTTGTGCTGCCCCTCGTAGTTCATGTCAGAAGGGTTATTGCAATGAAATACCATCACATTTATGTTCAGCGGGTTGGATTACTAATTTCTTCATGCGTGTGGTTATACATTTTTCTGATAATTTCTAGCGCAAGTCATGGACGTTCGACCTTACTTGGAAAATGTGGGCCATTCTATGGACATTTGGCAGCAGGCGGGGTCCACCCACCATGGATGACTGGTCTTGGGATGGTATTTTCTACCGGTAATCAGGAAAATGATGCAGGCGGCTCATACAAGTGAGCCAGGTATTGTTCTTTGCGAAAAGACATGACTGAAGGGTTATTTCAGTGCAAAGACCAGTCATCACCAGTATGCTAGTCGGATTATTGGCTATCATCCAGGCGCGACCACCTACCCCATTTTTTCGAAGTTGAGTCAGAACCTCGGATTTCCTCAAGGTTTCTTTTCTAGAGGTTGTTTGACCCCCTGAACACGAATATGATATCTATTTCGCACGGAGAGAGCTGTGAGTCGCGCTACAGGTGCAAATTCACTGCGCCAGCCCACCCGCAAGAAGAAAAACAGCGAAGGAAAACCTATATAAGTCCGCTCAGAGAATCGTTCCGCAAATTTTAAAGGTAGTTTCGAGTTCATTGTGTCAAGACGAGTACAATGATATGCACTCACTGCAAATGGCCAGGCTGTCCTATTGGCCTTTCCTGGATGACACCTTACAAACCAGCACAGTTGTGTGGAGAACCTTGTTTCCGGAAATGTTCACGTCTCGTTGCGTAATGCAAAACTGCTACCGCAATGAGGATTCGAACCGAGTCCCGCATTGTCGTGCCATACAGAACCCATCGTGCTATCCGCTACGCCATCTGATCCGCAAGCAATGGTCATGAAGGGAGCGCTGACAAAAACATCACTCTTGCGTCGGTGCATGCCAAGTGTGTTACCACATGATACTTACATTTTGACTTTAATCGAATCTATTTTGAGGCCTAATTAGTGACCACCTCATAAACTATGCATGCTCGAAGTTACAAGCAGAAAGGAGCCCATTAAGGTTGTTAAAACCGCCCATTCTTGTCAAATTCTTTTCACTCAGTTTTGACCTACCCAGAAACGCATAGCAAAAATGAAACCCATTTTTGTGACCCTTGTATGGACCCCTACAACAAGCAACAAACCATTTCCAAAAAGCGCGTCATGACCTGAAACACCTCCCTTGTTAGAGCTGAAGACCAGCTTTGCGTGGAAGCCGGGGATTTTTCGAGATTCGGTAAAGTGAGGTTGTGAGACGAGGACACGATAAGCCCTGATGCTAGTCGTATCCCCAGTTCTGCGCGCATCCTCCCCACTCGCGCTCACTGCTGTGGTAAAAATTGGGAGATGCATTGTAAATGAGGATTGTATGGAAGGAGAAAATTTGAGGGAGTCGCACTTATTTGAGATTTTACACAGTGCAAAGCTGAGCTCTAGCCAGTAGGCGTGGAATGAACCCCCTGATGGTGCTTTTCCTACCAATAGTGTGAGGTTCAGTTACATAGAAGTGATGGAAATGCCTCTGGTGATTTCACTGCATGCCTCCTGACGTCGTCGTGGAGGATTTTGTTAATATCAGCCGCATGCGCGTCCATCTGCAGGATTCGTAATCTGAACGCGACCACGTAAGCACACGGCCGGCACTCTCAGTGGAGCACTCGATAGCAGAAGGAATGGACTGGCCGAAGCCTATGGAAAGGGAATGTCAAATTTCGATTTTAAAATCCCCTGCCAAGAATCCATACCTTAGTGTGAGTGACATAGAGTTTGTGAGATTGATTAATAAATTGGCAGAGATTTTCAGTGTAAGTATTGTTGTCCTCTCTCGTACAACCTGGCTCCTGCAGCAGAAACTGTTATAATCATCAAAGGAGAAATGGTAGAGGACATACTTCGTAGAAAAACGTAAAAATCGCAAGTTTTCGGGAAAAGATCCTCAGCAAAGGATGCGTGGCAACTAGTGATTCGAAGTAAGCGCACATCTCCACAGCCTGCAATCAAATCGTTTCGAAACAACTAGAATCTTTCGGAGCCAGACAGAACTTACATTGTTCAGGTGGTAACGGAAGCCCTCTAGCCCATTCAAGCGCAGCGCTATCCATATCTTCATCGCTTTGTTCCGTCGGCTTCTATGTATTCCCCACTCACGTATATCTGTGCCGTCTGAATTATGTTAAGCTTACCTCAGAGGAGAACTCGTCAACAGGAAGGCTATCTGAAGCCAAAGGTTGTTGTTCCGGGAGCGGAAGCGTTAATCTGCTACCTCATTCGCTTTTACGCGACACATTTTCATACGTGGATTAGAAGTTGGGAGGAAGATTACTTATGAACTTCTCCGAAAAAATTCTATTGTTCGCAGCTAAGCCGTATACTTTCAAAGTACCACCATTCGGAACCACCCTGAAGAGGCCAAGGGTCTTCGAGGTACTACTGTGGAAGCAATATTGAGCAGAAGTCGTAAGGGTGGTTTCCATACAAACTTGTTCGCTACGGATGGAGGGGGGTGTCAATGGGGATGGCGCCTCATTGACACGCCCCTTCATCGCCGCCAGCTCGTTCTCGACCAGTCGCTGGAGCATGTAAGTGGAACACAACAATCGGAGGAAAAGGCTGACATGAAGTATTAGGCTGGCAAAAGTGTACTTTCCGATTTTGTTTAGAAGTTGCTATTCAATATAGAAGGATGCCTGACATTCGGGTATACCTGCGAATATTCTGAAACATTCACGGAGCTTGGTACTTATGGAGCATACAAACCGTTTCACTTTCATAAAGGTACGGTCAGCGATTAGGTATCGAAGTTGAAGATTATGGCTCGGGATGTAAGTTGTGCGTTCGCATGAACGAATAAACCTGTTGCCGGTTCCGCGGTACAGAAACTGCAAGGGAGCGCGGCGCTGAAGCGCAATGTAGGTTCAGTGATGCCTTCTTTTTCCAAAACTCCGCCTTCAAGCCTTTCAGTGAAAAATGGAGTTACAAGACAAAAAAAAGCATGAAAATCGTCACTTTGTACGGTAGTAGAGTCTTTGTCAGGGAATTAGCTGCGTGGATAGGGTGAAGTGTTGGAAGGGAGTTGGAGTTATGGAGTTACTTGGGCACTACAAACTGGAATTGAAATGGGGTCTATCTAGGGCAGTTGGCATGTTTTTTCTTTCTGCTTTTTTTCACTATTGAGTTGCTCAGCCTCTTGTTGTCTATTTGCAAACCCCTGATCCGCCATCTGCGATAGACTGATCACGGGCTTCGCCTTCAAACATTGACCATGGCTGAAATACCACGCCAGTATTCTGAACAATATTTTTTCACGTCGTACCGTACGCAACTGGTATAAACGATTCACATTCGATTCGATAAGGATGGAGACACGGACATGGAAGATCGACCTCGTAGTGGTCGTCTGGCATTGCACGCCACCATTGAAGAAAAGCCATACACCACAGTAAGGGATTTAGCAAGCAGGTTCTGGTGCACGCATATAACGATTGAAAAACCGCCTTCCATGTTATTTATGGCCGAAAAGTTCTGAAGAAATGGATACTTCTCTACGCTCCAGCTACCTGGCTTATCAACCAAAACTCTACCCTAATCCCGACCTCCTACTCCCAACCTCTATCATGTTCACCGACGGCATTGCAGGATGGCCGTCCGACTACCCTTCAATCTCGCCTCTTTTAGCCGCATCGCAAGGAAGTTTCTTGAGGACCTGACTACTGGAGAAACGAGAGTTGGATCCTCTACGATGCCAGCACCCCTCGTGCTGTTTGGCTTCCGCGCGGTGAAGAACCGCCATTGCAAGCCGAGGTATCGACCTCACGCAAAAAGGTTATCTCTTGTGTTTCCGGGATTGCGAAGCTCCCACTCCCAGAATTACGAGCTGAGAGCGGAGGAATGATTCACTGCGAGTACCGCAAGGCAGGACTATCACCGACCGTGATACCGCAAGGCCAGACTATCACCGGTAACCGTGATATGCCGCATGCACCCTCCAGAATGGCGAGAAAAATTGATGGAGCTCGGATGGCATCCCGTTGCACATCCACCCTACTCTCCAGACCTTGCGCCGTCAGACTATCACTTGTTCAGACCGCTCGAAGCTTTCTTCAAAGACTTTTGTTAAATATGATGGTGTAGCGACAATCACCGAGTTCTTCAGACACAGCACCGTATGAAATTTATCATTCAATATTGGCATTGATGACGAAAGCGATTAGGAGTGGAGCGTGGATACTATGTCTGATGCTGCGGAAAATCCCTTGCTTCAATGACCCATCATGTAAGCATTAAAGCAACCAGGAAATCGCGCCATTTACCGCAAAGTTCGTTGCGCTTCGCGTGACCTCACCATCCTACGGTAGGACCGCTCAGCTCCTGAACCATCTGACAGAAGTTCTTGTTAGAGGTCTCTTAAAAGGTATGGGTATGCGTGCCTGCATGCGTGCGTGTTACGTCTCACCAGTCACATGCTCTCTCTCTGTCCAGACTCCATGGCATGAATGGTACTTATGACAAGCGTCTAGGTTGGCCAGAGGACGATATAGGGCAAATAAACTGAGAAAACAAACATGAAACTCCTAAAACAAACCTCCCTGTAAAAGTCGCCGTTGTAGAGACGCAGTGGTGAACGCTTCCTTGTAGATGTTGCGCTCTCTTGTCCAAACTAAGCACGTCATACCCGAGTACAGAAGGAACTTGTGAAGATTCACGTTGATGGAGTGGACATGGGCTAGGGCCGTCCTACAACCGAACAACTTTGAGGGTAAGTGCAATGGCGCCATCCACAGTATTAGGGAAGTGTTGATGTTGTTCCCATGAAATCTTGCCCGTACAGGCCGATTTGATTCCACGGATAAGGACAGTGCATGGCTTTAATGAAGCGTCATTCATATAGTATGATTTCCTCAATTTTGACAGATTGAGAGCACCTACAGACGAGTTGTTCTTACACTTCTTAATGATGAAGACTCCACTGCGCCGTTCAGTGCTTGGCCCCGCACGAACAATCAAGCTGCATTCATACTTTGCGGCAGCGTCCACCAGCGTCTGCCAGCGTCCACTAGCGGACCACTAGCTTTCCGAGCGTCCGGCAATGTAGTAAGCGACTAGGAAAGAATAGACATCAATTTAGCGTCTACCACTGTCTGCCAGCGTCCACCGGCGTTCATCAGCGACCGGGAGTAGAGAGAATGAGGAAGTAGGAGGGTAGCAAACAGTTTGATTAGGCGTCGTGAAATCGTACTACTACACAATACCTTACATTATATTGCACAATTCTGTGCTTTAGCAGTTGTGCGGTGCGGTTGCACACGCCGCAATTTCACGACGCCTAATCCAGCTGTTTGCTACCCTCCTACTTTCCCATACTCTCTACTCCGGTCGCTGGTGAACGCTGGTGGACGCTGGTAGACGCTAGATCGACACGTAACTTCCCCAGCCTTCGAGGGGCTGCTGGTAACTGGTGGACGCTGGTAGATGGTAGACCGTTATCTATACTTTCTTAGTCGCTGACGCTGCCGGACGCTCGGAAGGTTAGTGGTAGCAGATGGACGCTGCCGCAAAGTATGAACGCAGCCTCATCGCTCCTTCCATTCCCACTTTACCATCAAAAGCGACGCAATGTGATAATCCTCTTTCGCTCCTTGTCCCCGTCACAAGACCTGGGAAGCGTCATGCCTTCGCCTAGGAAATATTCGCACAGTCATCGTGATCACGAAAATTAACAAGGGAGGTCGTTCAGGCCGTGGTGAGCTTTTTCAAAACGGTTTGTTGCATGTTGTAGGGGTCCATGCGAGGACCATAGCGATGGGGTTCATAATAACAATCATAATAAAGAGGCGAGGCTAGTTTAATATTTGGACGGCTGCTCGTGGTGATAGCTCCATGCTCTGAAAAACGCGGGAATCTCCCAGATGAAAGGATTCACGAATGTCTAAGCAAGACTCACTTTGTTTGCCTTCGGTTGTGTACAAGTGATGAGAGACTCTCTAGGCAGGGCACAGCATTGGTTGGGGATTCCCTATGGGGGGGGGTCGTATTTGGGCTGGGAAAAATTTATTTTTATAGTTGATTTTTCTCGCTTTGCGGACGTTTTGGAGGGGGGGGGTCGTATTTCTGGCTAGGAGTTACGTGGTTCACTTCATGAGTTTTATGAATTTTCTGTGTTATAGGTACTATGTACGCCCGTACGATGTACGTCGCATGCCTACTACATATATATACCTCCCTCCCCCGCTCGCAACTTTTTAGCCGGTATAAACCACAACCACAGTCAGCCATGTCAGCCATCGTACGAGCATGGGGCATGGGGGGGGGGGGGTCGTACCAGCCCCTGAAAAAAAGGGGGGGGGTCGTAAAAGCTCGACCAAAATCCCCATCGAATGCTGTGCCCTGCTCTTCTAGCCACCAAAGCAGCCCTGGGCTTTTTGCAACAGCCGTCAAATGATGGGGATCAACTCACGCGTTCTCCCGATACTTCTTGTCAACCCAAGCGTTTCCAGAATACGAGGCATCACAATGGATCCACATGTCATACCTCGAACGAGTAATATTTGTACCCATTTTCGTAAATTTGAATTTTAGTCATACTTTTTAGCAACCGGCCAAATGGATTCTAAGTGATCATCAGCGGCAATTGATGACGTCCCAAGAGTACAGTGGAAATGGGTTGGAATCAATCCATTCTCGATGTCCTGCAAAAAGTAAGTGCACCCATTGCTGAGGCTTTATGAACGTTGTTTTTTGAAAGATTTACCTTTATGATGTATTTTTCAAGTTGTGCACCAGTAATTCCCCAGTCGTTCTCCTGGAGAGGTTGTATGGGTCGGCAGCGGACCATCGCAACCTTGCACGCTTTCTCAAGATGCTCTAGAAAGTGCGCCTGTAAAAGGTACTGGGTCAGATGATGGCTGCACACTGTGCTTTAAGAGCTCAACAGACCGACAGACAAAGAACAATCTGCTTGCAACATCCTGTGGAAGCCGAGTCAGTAGTATAGTCACCCATCCTTCTAGAGCATTTCCAGAAGCGCATAGCAAAGCGGAACTAATGGGGGGCGCTGCTGTGGTCCCACTCAACCTCTTGAAGGCAGTTGGCACGATATTTTGTTAATTGGCCTAAAATGCTAGCAGGGCGCCATATAGTGGGGAAAATGGCGAAAATACGAAGTGAAACGGGCCAAAAACCTGCGAAGAAAAATTTTCGTCCTCAATGACGATTTCGGACGAGTTTTCTGTAAGACATCTTGCCAATGACCGCTATCGGTGGGTAGCGGTCTGCTGTCTTGTTCCGTATATCCATGGCAGCAACCGCAGCCGGCTTCATGCCGCAATCTCTTCGGCTTTATATTTTATTCAAAATAAAGCAATATGAGCGTCAAGTACCGTCGTCCATTCTGTGGGCGGGCGGGCGTGGTGGGGCGCTCGGGTCGCAATGTTGTAGCTCGATAGGGCCCTTCTAAGAGTGCCTTTCCCAGAAAAGGCGCTACGCAGCACCTGCTTAAGGCCACGGAATCCTATCCTGCCAGGCGGTTACCAAGCTGTCTTTAAGGCAGTTGGCACGATGGTTTCCTACTTAGCCTAAAATGCTAGTAGGGCGCTGTATAGTGGGGAAATGGCGAAAGAACGGAGTGAAACGGTCAAAATCCTGCGAAGAAAAAGCCGTTCTCAGTGACTTGTAAATCGATTTCGGACGAGTTTCCCGTAGGCATCTTACCAATCACCGCTACCGAAGATACGGCTGCATATGTGTACCCATATGCATGCAGCATCACGCCCGCTTATAATCCTTTGCTTCATAATTTGCTCAGCAAATGAATGAATACGAGCGTCAGAAACGGTCGTCCGTTTGTGGGCGGGCGGGCAAGGAAGGCGTTTGGGACGTAAAGTTGTTGCTCAATAGGGCGTTATAGAGGTACCCTCCTTGGAAAAGGCTTCACGCAGCGCCTGTCCGAGGTCACGGAATTCTGTTAAGCCAGTTGTACAAATCCTACACCTGTATAGCGATTTATCGTGCCAACTGCCTTTAACAATGCAACAAATACTTTAGGAAATGGGCTTCTCGATCTGGTCGACCCACCCCCGTGTAGCCCTCCCTCTTGTTGAGGCCTTTTCGGTGGTCTGTTTCAAAATAGAGGCTAGTTTCGACCAAAAATGAATGGCTTTAGGCTGCGTTCATGCTTTGCGGAAGCGTCCACGAGCGTCTACCGGGGTCCACAGCGACGGCGTAAGGGTGCCAAAGCGTCTGCCAGCGTCAGCGACCAAGAGAACATACATGTCATTGATTTATCGTCCTGCGCAGCGTCTACCAGCGTCCACCAGTGACCAGCAGCGTCTCGAGAACTAAGGAAGTATAGGCATCGATCTAGCGTTTGCCAGCGTAAACCTACAACCAGGAGTATGGGAAGGTAGGAGGGTAGCAAGCAGTTGGGTTAGGCGTTGTGAAATTGCGGCGTGTGCAACCGCCCGCACACCATATTCGAGTATATGCCGGCTTTGGTCGAGCCTTTTTTGCGCATCACCCAGATATATAATAAATTCGCTTCGTCTGTTTGTTTGTTTGTTTGTTTGTTTGTTTGTTTGTTTGTTTGTTTGTAAGTTTGTAAGTTTGTTTGTCTGTCCGGAAATTCGGTTCGACCTGAAGAACGACTTGGAGAGGTCGGGTCAAGGTGGCCCCGCCCACAGTGGGCGGGGCACTCGCCGAAAGTTTGGGGTTCCGCAGAAAATGTTCATAATTCGCTTCCGGGGCAGCTTAAAGATGGGGAAAAAGGAAAGTAGTAAGGAGTCGCCAGACTAACTGTGGCAGACACATCCAAAATGGGCGGGGCGTACTCAAGGTGGGCGGTGCTTCGCATAAAACTCAGTAACTCGGTTCGCGAGAGTGTTTGGAGGGACGTCGCAAAAAACCCAGTTTTGGGTTAAAATGTAAATATCTGGCGAATATAGGGCACGCTCAAAGTGTGTTGAAACCCGTCCACAGTGGGGGAGCTTGTCCTGAATCGCAGGGTATTCATTTTAAAAGTTTGGAGCTCGGTTCCAGAACACTTCAGACACCGGAATAAAGTGAATTCAGGTCAGCAAGGGGTCGCCGATTGAGAAATGTGGGGTGTACATATTGTGGGCGGGGCCAGCCCTGAGGCCAGACGAAAATTCTGCTAAGTACTGTCCCTAGATGCAACTTCAAAGACGGCCGGAAAAAAACTTGGATTAAGGTCAGCAGAAGGTCGTCGGTGAGGACTTGTAGGGCAACAAAACTATTGTGGGCGGGGGCCTGGGTCAGCACGAAGATCTGTCAACAGCTGCAAAGAGTACTTCATACACCGGAAAAAGTGAGGTACAGAACAAAAGGTGGATATCAGTTAAGTTTAGAAATATGTGGAAGAAAATACGCGCGGCGAAGCCGCGCCTGCCCCGTGCAGCCGGGCCGTATCAGAAGGAGGCGCGCCGGCGTTAGCCGGCGAGACGACTGGTTACTCAGTATTTTTTGAGCGAAAATATTTCTATTGCCACGTATATTTTGTTAAAGCTTTACTCTATACCTTTACCTTTTTTATCCTGGTAAGCAAGTTGTGGGGCCCATGCATTTACTTTGACGAGCTAAGTTTACACACAGGTGTACTGAATAGTATCTCGGTAGCAGGAGTGGAACAGTAAAAGGAAATAGACGAGAAGGCTGGCAAGAACATTTCCCGGCCTTACTATCGCTGGAAACTGAAACATGCTGTGAAATATCACTCACATCTTTGCTACAGTATGCCACCAGTCTTTTCCCTATGTCGTGTATGGTTTCATACTTTGTCTGACCTTCCTTCATCTGTTCTTCTTTGACCTAAACTGGCATGGATGAGCAAAAGCAGTGACAACAAAGGCTTTTGAAGTCAAGTGGCAGGATACATCCCCAAGACATGTAGACACACCTATAAATAAACAAATAAATACGCCTAGCAGGATAGAATTCGGCGCTCCTGTTCAGGTGCTGCGTGGCCTTTTTCAAGGAAGACACACTATAGCGGCCTATCAAGCACCAACATGCCAACCTGGACGCCTACCGCGCTCCCGCCCACAAATGTCCGACCCGATGCTGATGCTGCTCGTACCGATTTGCGAAACACAGTATGAAGCGAAGGGATAGATATGAAGCGGCTGCGGTGCTGCATGGATATATGAGTACATACATGCAGCCGTATCTACCGTAGCGGTTATTGGCACGATGCCAACGGGAAACTCGTCCCGAATTGCTTTCTGAGTCGTGAACAAAGGCTTTTTCTGCAGGTCTTTGACCGTTTCACTTTGCCGTTTCGTTTTTTCTCATACTATATAGCACCCCCTGCTACCGCACTGGACCGATGATCAAATTTTCGGACTTATGCCTTAGCTTTCCACCAAAAAGCGCCGGGTTCGAATGTGGAGGAGGATGTCACCGGTGGAAGAAGGCATTACATGGAGCGAAGTGGATAGCCCCGTGAAGCATCAGAAGTGAGCCTATTACGCAGTTAAGGGCTGAAGCAAGGCCTCGGCGATTGAAAGACCAGCAAATCTGCCAGAGCAGCATTATGTGCTGATTCATGATTTGTTTTGGTCCTATTTTTTTACTCACTCCTATTTGGAATAAAACTTGCCACCCTTACAGAAAGAGAAACGTCGATCGTAGTTTTTATGAAAACATCCATACCTGGTTGATTTTCCAGTTTCTCGATACAAGAACGGAACAAAAGATAGCGTCTGATGCACTGCCCACTATGCTTCCTCCCCCGGGGCTTAGGCGGGGAACCTCCTGGAACGCTTTGAGAAAGCATGTAAACCACAGTAGAGGAAGTCTACACTTTGTGCAGCGCCTAAGATTCCCAGTTTTAAGGAAACTTCACTTTGAAATTAGAACAGGACTCTGGTAGGCCGAATGCTCTCCCAATCCAGTTGACGACAGTGTTCTCCAACTCATTCAGCGCAGGGCAACTTTCCTTAAATTGGCATACCGTTAGTTAGAATGCGACAAATTTTGCGTGTATAAGTGTACAGCTCCTCTATCGAATGCATACTGTGAACTCAACCTCGGAGAGGATCCTTTCATGAGCGAGCGACAACACGCGAATGGGTTAGCAGCTACAGTTAGATGTGTTACTTTTCACCCAAAGTTGCAGTTCTGGGAGAGCTGACACTCGAGTGCCCTCATCAAAACTCCGCCGCGCTACTCTCCAATGTGTTTTTTACCCAACCACTTGCCGTCGATTTACGATAGCCAAAATACCGTTGCCAATACAACCACAGATCAGATATAGAGAAACATTACCATAAATTGAGACGAATGCTGCACAGGTATCACCCGTTATGGTTAGAGCTGCGTTCATAACTCTATACCTTTACGCACGCCTTCGGCCTATGTCGACGGCAACCGAGCTCTCGAAATCAGTCGATACGTATCTATATCTTTTTACCGTCGGCTACGTCGATGAGCGTTTGACACGTCGGACTCGATACGCTATACAGGGAGGGGGGGGGCAAAAAAAGACATTTCGACCGAGTCACATATCAGCAAAGTTTTCGCAGCCCAGACAGAGGACGTGGATACGAGTACCAGGGCGGAAGATACCCAAGATGTTCCTCTATAAGCAGGAGTACCAAGATGGTCCTCTATAAGTGGTTATACTAGCGCTCAAGCCATCACCTTCATGTTACACCAAATATGGTCACTCCAGTCGCAGCCTGACTGGAGAAGACCTTCGGAATTCATGTCACCTCTAAACAGCGAAACTTCTAGTGTGGAGTCACCCATGGATAGCTACCTGGAGACCAGTACTCTTGATCTGCAAGACCTCAAACATCGAGCAGCTCCGGCAACGTCGCTACGGTCCAGGACATCATCTTCATCCCATTCACCAAGGCGCGGTTCTACGTTGATGGTGTGGACCAGCCGCTAACCTGGAAATCGGCATCATGACCGATATTTTCTTCGTGGGCCCAGACTGAGGGTGTGCGCTGGTGGCTACATCGAGCAACTCGAGGAGAATATCC